TTAATTTATATCCCGCCTATCTAGTCGTGGTGGACTACTCTAGGCAAGTACTCTAGCAAGCAGAAAAATACGGTACATTGGCACTGTTGTTAATATAGTGTTCTTAAAATATTAATTTTAATTTTAATTTGGTAGTTAATCTTTTGATTAATTTGTTAAATAATTGAACTTTAGAAGAGCGCCTAGAATAGCCAAAGGTAACTGTAATAAGTTACTGGATCTAGTCGTGGTGGACTACTCTAGGCAAGTACTCTAGCAAGCAGAAAAATACGGTACATTGGCACTGTTGTTAATATAGTGTTCTTAAAATATTAATTTTAATTTTAATTTGGTAGTTAATCTTTTGATTAATTTGTTAAATAATTGAACTTTAGAAGAGCGCCTAGAATAGCCAAAGGTAACTGTAATAAGTTACTGGAAACATAACTTTTGAAATAATACCCCATGGCATTTTCACAGTTAAATAAATGAATTTTAAATTTGTTGTTAACAATGTAATGAATCATGGCAATGAATTAATTTGAGAAGAAATTTCCAGCACTGGTTAATGCCTGTTGAGCTGGTTCCTTTTCTCAGTTTCTTCTGCGTTCGGTTTTCTTCATGCAGGGCCATCAACTCCTCCTTCCGATTTACGGTTGCATCCCGTCAACCCCTACACCGTCCAGGTTCACTGGTGCCCTCCTTCTGAACCAAATGGCATCATTGTAGAATACATCATCCTCTATAATGCCAACAACACGCAGCCTGATGAGATGTGGACTCTTGTGACGAAAGAGGGTAAATATCCGTAAATGCTCAGAGGCGATGGTAGTGTGTGTTTGGAGAACAACTCTGCTTCCTCTCGTAACTCCCTGCCAACGTTAGAACCTCAGCGTCCTGTTATTAATAGCAGTCTGACATGGTTGAGCACATCCTGAATTCCTCTCTTGCTCAGGCAACACATTCAGCACGGAGGTTCATGGGCTGGAAAGCGACACCAGGTATTTCTTCAAGATGGGAGCCAAGACGATAGCTGGGTCGGGACCCTATTCCAACGTGAAGGACGTACAAACTTTGCGGGAGAAGTTCTCAGGTACCGGCTGCTTTTCTCGTCAACCTTGTGGGATTATTCTGTACCTAATCATCTGGTATCCCTTATACGTAGGCAAGGCACACTTTGGTGAAAGGAGGTACGAATTAAGTCCCTTGGCTTTACCCTCTTCTCTTTCATTCCTCCTGTGGGTGGAAATGTTGATTCTCTCCTGTGTCCTTCACCTGCCAGATCTGTTGGATGTCCACTCAGTCACGGGAATCATCATAGGGGTCTGCTTAGGCTTGATCTGTGTCCTCTTCTGCATGTGTGCCAGCTTTCGAAACAACAAACCAAGGTAAGTCTTTGTGTTGCCCTGGCTTCTGATATATCAAGCCAAAGTCAAACAGCAGATCTTGCCTGTCTCCCTTCTCTGTCCTGTTCGTCTTCTGTTCTCCGAGCTGGATCTACACGTGTGGAAGAATGAAGGAGTTTAAAAGTTTGGTGACAGAATGCATTGCATCGCCTTATACTACAGGCAAGGGGTTGCATTTTTAATACTTCTTTATATAATTTTTTAAACCCCTCTTTTAATTGCAAGTAAAAAAATAAGCAGAAGACTGCCAAAACTAGGTAACAGACAGAGGCCCTGTCTCCCACTACGCTATTCTGTTTTCAGCCATGAATTTTGTGTGAGTGTGTTTTAAAATAGTACACTTACAATATGAAGTCATCGTAGGCCTCAATCGAATTTCTAGTCCCAGCTAGCTTAGACCTGTTGAATCAACGGCTAAGTAGTTAGTTGGCATTTATGTACATCCCATTGCGTCAGTGGGTGTACTCCGTTTGAGACTTCAGTAGCTATTGGATTTAGGCCCTGATGCCCATCTGTGACATTTGCTACCTCATTCTACATCCTTCTGTCCCACCTCCATAGTATTCTGGATTGTAGTCTTGGGTGCAATGATGGAATGCCAGACTACCATGAATCAGGTGTGAAGCCTTGCCATGGCTGGGCAGTACACTGAAACAGTGGTTCCATCACAGTTACAACCTTAGTAGCCTTTATGAATTACCTATATTGAGAACTCAACAAGGAAAGTGTACTTTTTGTGGTTTTGCTGGGCCTCTCTGTGACATTTTTAATGTATTAGTATATCTGTATCCTCTTTATATACATTTATATCATCTCTATCCTTCGAATTGCCCAAAGTGGCATACATACTGAAACAGTGGTTCCATCACAGTTACAACCTTAGTAGCCTTTATGAATTACCTATATTGAGAACTCAACAAGGAAAGTGTACTTTTTGTGGTTTTGCTGGGCCTCTCTGTGACATTTTTAATGTATTAGTATATCTGTATCCTCTTTATATACATTTATATCATGTCTATCCTTTGAATTGCCCAAAGTGGCATACATACATCACTCTCGCATCTCTCACTTTATCCTCACAGTGGTCATGCAGTAAGGTAAAGGTAAAGGTTCCCCTTGACAATTTTTGTCCAGTCGTGTTCGACTCTAGGGGGCGGTGCTCACCCCCGTTTCCAAGCCACAGAGCCAGCGTTTGTCCGAAGACAATCTTCCGTGGTCACATGGCCAGTGCGACTTGGACACGGAACGCTGTTACTTTCCCACCGAAGTGGTCCCTATTTATCTACTTGCATTTGCATGCTTTCGAATCACTCTCCCATCTCTCACTTTATCCTCACAACGGTCATGCAATAATTGGGCTGAAATAAGAGTGACTGGATCAATGGGTTTCATGGATCACTGGAGCCCAAAAGCTGACCCTCCCCCAAGTCTTAGCCCCACATGTTAACCATGTCACCACATTGGACTCTTATTATCATCAACTGCAGTATTCTGCTGGGATCTTGAATGGACTTGGGGAAAATATTTGTTAAAGGAAAGGGTTCCATGTCTTCTCTTGGTTATTCTTGCAGAGAATCTGTGCCAGGTTTGGATTCCCAAACTCCCGGGACCCAAATATACTATCACCGGAGCCGCCAGACATCAGCACTTTCTGTGACCCCTCTGAACACTCATGAACTGGAGTCCCTCATGACTCCACTCTCTGATGAAGCTCCATCACCCCCGACAGACATCCTAGAGCTGACAGAAGTGCAGGGCCTCATCCACAGTCATCGTCTTGTTGACAGCATGGGCCACATCCAAAGGAAGGTATGGCTAAGGGCCCCATGTTCACCACTGGTTTCTTTGTTTTTTTGTTGGTTGGTTGGTTGGTTGGTTGGTTGGTTGGTTGGTTGGTTGGTTGGTTGGTTGGTTGGTTGGTTGGTTGGTTGGTTGGTTGGTTGGTTGGTTGGTTGGTTGGTTGGTTGGTTGGTTGGTTGGTTGGTTGGTTGGTTGGTTGGTTTTTATTCGCTCATAATATGGGACTTAAGAGAGTGTAAATTAAAAACAAGTTCAATTTTACAAGGCACATTACAAATATTAAACAATATTTAGGTCAGTTGTAATAGTAAAACACAATAAAGTCTGAAACCGTTTAAAAGCTTCTCAGTTTAAAATAATCACAACAGTAAAAAAAAGTATAGCATATACTTGTATGCACCTGTTGTTACTATTAGCTGCTAAATAAGACACAGGTCGTTGCATTGGGAGGGGGTCCGCTGTCTAGCAGCAGCCACTGGAAAGGTCCACTCCTGCACATCTCAAAGGTACTGTGAGTAAATATGGCCTCCAGAATACATTGCTCTGTGGGAACTGGGTTGTTCTTTATCCTGTCCCTGTCCCAAGCCACACTGAAGAGGAGACATCCTAAAAGTTTGTGGAAGGTCTGGCAAAATTGACCCCCAGTTCTGGAAGAAAAGTGGGATGTAGACCTATGGAATTGTCAATTCACATTTGAAGGAAAGGATTTAGTTTCCTTACATTTTCAATGACAGGGGAAAGGATGCACTGTTTAGAAAATATTTTTCCTTGCATCAATGTTATGAATGGCTGAAGAACAAGTTGGACATAGAAGCAATTTTATTAGTTCCCCTTCCCAAAATAAAAATTATTTACAACTGCTGTGGGAAACTTGTAGCCTTCCAGATGTTATGTTTCAGATCCCATCAGCTGGGGCCAGAATGGCCAATGGTCAACCTGAGTTAACAGCTGTTGTGCTCCAATAATAGCTGGAGGGGCACATATGTTCCCCACCACTGATTTAAAAGATGCATTGGCTGCCTTTTAGCCGAAGCATGCAAGGCGGCTCCCTGTAGAACACAACACAACGCAGCACACAAGTTAATATCAGGTAATGAGAAAAAAAAACAAGTAATGTTTGCACCAGTAGTAGAATCGGCGACCAAAAATAGAAATAAACAAGAAACAGTAGAGAGTGACTTGTGCACTGAAAACGTACATGGAAATTGTCTTCAGCTGGTGTGCCAGAGACAAGTTGGAACCAGCTAAATGTCTTTTTGTAACTGGTGTGCAACCCCTCAGAAAGTTCTGGCTTTCTCTGCTTGCCATTCATCTCACTTCAGAAGGACAGAATTAACAGGCCCCTCTCTGAAGTAGATGTGTGTCAAATGCACAGGCATGTATGGGAGTAGGCAGTGCTCATATAATCGTGTCCCAGGCTGGCTTGGGGTTTTCTAGATCAAAACCTGCAATTTTAATTATTACTTGAAAAGAATATAAAGCCAAATAACATCTATGAACGTTTGAGGGAAATGTTCCAAGGACCCAGAACTAACCAATAATTTGATTTCCATCGGTTTAATCATCGTATGGAGAAAGGTTTGGCTATAATTTATTCAGAAGAAGACAAGGAAATAGATGATTATGCTTTAAGTCAGGGATTGGTGTTTTGAGGGCCAAAAATTCCAGGGGTAGGAGGATGGGTTGAGAAGGACATTCTGCCTTCGGGTCTGGGGCGGGCAGAAATGGCTTGTGAGCCCTCTGAAGTTGCCTATCTCTGCTTTAAATGGTGAGGAAGAATGAATCCACACCTTTGCTTTACATTGCAGCTTTCTTACAATGTGATTCTAACCGATAAATGGCACAATTATATATTAAATGGATAAAAACACACAAAGCTCCCTCATAAGAAATGTTGAAGTCTTCTCAAAAGTCTCGTCTTTTCCTCTGAGATTCCTTGATCAAAGGTGCTGCAGTTTGTTCTTTGGCTGGTCCTGAGGAGCGCTCCCATGTCGCCATTTTGTGCTAGGTGAAAGTCCCGTCACATGCCAGGTTGACTGTCCAAGGGTAGCTGTCATTGCATACGAGCATAGTATTGCCCCCTCCCCCGGCCACTGAGAAAACAGCTGCATCCCACCCCCGGATGAAGAGACTGGCTCTCTCTGGCCCAGAACAGTGTAAAAATTTATATTCAGCAAACTGGGGGACCCGTAGAAACCTGTGCAGTATAAAACTGGTGCATAAATCACAAGCCTTGAGTGACCGAGGGCCGCATGACTCTTGTTTCCCACTTCCATGATGCTGTTGGGATGCATTAGGCTGCGTCCTTCTCAGAGATTGGGGAAGTTACTCTTTCAGGCTACAGCTTTCAGGATCTTCCAGCCAGCACGACCAGTTTTCCTGCGTTCTGGCTCTTCCATTAGGCGTGAGAATGATCAATCGCTACAGTCAGAGTGGAAGACACAGCAGGAGACTTAGCTGCTGCCGCCTTGTTCCTCTGAGGTTTGCAACTGCCTTTTGCAGGAGTATATTGTGCTTTGGCTAGATTTGCATACTAAGGTCCCTAAGGTGCCATAGTTAACGGATGGCTACCTGTGGGGTCTGCACCAACCGGTCTGTCCTAACCCATCCCTCCTCCGCAGTGGGTTTTGCTCAGATTTCATAGGACTGCTCTCATAGCAGGTGGTTTGCCTGCCGTTTTGCTGCCTTCGCTTTTTTTCTCCTTTCCTCCTCCCCTCCCCCAGCTTAATGCTTCCCAGAGTTCATCTGGAGCATTCCATTTCATTAGGGAATGTTTAATTGGCCTAATTTACTTAATCTGTTTATGTCTGTCTTTTGTAGCCTGTGGAGAATGTGTAAGGTAATTAGGAGATCGACTAAAACAACTGCATGACAAGCATGCGAGCTCTTGCATTGACATCAGTCACCCCTTTCTTCAAGCCCATTGGCCGACACTGAAGTCCGGGGGGACCAGGCGAAAACCTTTTGCAAACTGGATCCCAAGAGAAGGGTGGTGTATAGACCCTAGGCACATGCTTTGGGCTCCCCAACCAGCAGTGGCTAGGGTGACCTTATGCCAGTTTGATGCATTGGGTAAGGAACTGGGCTTAGAACTAGGCTCAGAGCTTACCTTTTCCATGAACTCCTTACATAGCTCCTAGATAAGCCCCAGTTTTTTTGTGTGTGTGTGTTATTCCCCACCTGCAGAGAAGGAGTTTTATTCTGCTGTTGGTACGTTGCTCCTTTTGAAGCAGACTAGATGGTGATTTGCAAGATGAATCTTGCAAATCTTATTGGAGGAGACCAGATGAGCCCTTCGAAGGAAAGCACCACTGGATCTGTCCTAAGTAGCCTCCCTCTTGCCCTCATTTGAAGACTTGTCCCATTTTCTTTAGAAGGCATCAGGAACAACAAAGAGTCCCGTGGAGCTACGTAAAGCCGAATGATTTTCTCTTTGGCACAGACATCTATAGACTGAGGCCTATTTCATTGGATGCAAGATGCATCTGAGGAAGTTGATGGCAGTCTACAGATGCTTACACCAAATAAAACACATTCATATTTAAATTGCCATAAAATGTTTTGTTCCGGCTGGGGCTGTGAAGTTCTAGACCCAGACTGTTGGACATGCAGCTTCATTAGCTGGTGTGGGTCATTTAGGCAGAGTATTTGGAAAACTCTTACAGATTGTACCTCCCATCCACCTCACTAACCAAATTGTTCAATTGCATGTCTTAAGATTGGGGAAATTCATAACAGTCTTTCTTAACATGAATTTCTTTGCCATCCCCATTACTCACTGGGTCAACAGGCAGCTTTCCACCCACACTGTAGACCAAACCATAAAGGCAGTTCAGCTAGATGGCCAAGGGTTGTGGCTATGTGAATAGTGATGCTAAAGGTGACCAATGGACAGAGAAGCATAGCTGCCACTTTCTAGCAGTGACTAGAGATGGGAGTATTTCTATATACGAATATCCCCCCCCCCGAGGTGGAAATAACTTGTCATCCTGCCTCCTGCCAGGAGTGGCTAATATGGCACGATAGGAAGGCTCCATCAAGCTCACGTCAGCGGAGAAATGGTGAGTGGACAGTCCGGTCTCATGAGGCCGGACCCTCATTATTTCCACCTGTGGGGGGATATTCATACACGAATACCCCCATCTCTAGCAGTGACCCTAGTCCTTCCACAGTTCTGATGACTGCTCTGTTGTGGTCACTTCAGGCACTGCTGCTAAAAAGAAAAAACGCTGATGAAGGAGGGTCGCCAGACCCTTGTTTTGGCCTGCACTGTCTGGCTGCTGTGTGCTACGGTTACGATTGTTTTTCTTTCAGCTTTGCGCCAGAAAGATTGGCATCGTCAACCTGTTTTCCCGAATCCTAACCAGCCACTAGAGGGGAGCAAATGCATAATCTATGCCAAAGACTAGAGATTCTCCACCGTTCAGTATGTGGTCTGCCCAATGAGGAGATTGATCGCTCCAACAGTCATTCCTGGAGTCCCAGATCTTAAATCTTCAGAGGAAATGGAGATGAATAACCCCAACCTTTTTAATATATATATACTGAAAGCCTAGAGGAGGCGCATGCCCCCGCTGTTGTTCCATTGGAACAGCTTGGCTTAGGCAGATGAAGGCAGCTGCTACTTCAGATAGCAAATTTTGAATGTAATGAAAATACGGTAAATAATTAGTTATTTAACTTTTTTTTTACTTTGAGAGAGGGGCAGAAGGGCTTGTGGGTAAGGATGGATGGATGTTTGCTATTTTGTGGGCAGAAGGGCTTGTGGGTAAGGATGGATGTCTGCTATTTTGTGGCATTTCTCCAAATTCAACCTTTATTACATCTATCTTTCTCTCACTGGAATGGCAAATATTTACACAGTTTACATAATTTACACACCACCTTTAATTAAGAATGTCTTTGCCTATTTTTGTTCAATTGTAGGCATATTAGGCAGTAACCCTTAGAACTGCACACACAGTTTTGTGTATATTTTATTTCTGTGGAACACTCTGTAAGCCTTAAAG